GATCCTCCTGCCTCAGCCTCTTGAGTAGCTGGGACTACAGGCATGAGCCACCATGCCTGCAATGTACTAGATCTGTATTGAATTAAAAATTTAAAAATAAAAAAATGTAATCTTTAAATTCCATTTCAAAGTACTGAATATGTGTGTAATGACAATGTATGGCATTACTTTTTAATATGTGGTATAATATGGTATAAATATATAAAATTTTAGGACATTAATTACAAACCAACCAAATAAAAATAATGATGATACTGGTGCTACTTCATAGTGTGGCTTAGTGGGAGTAGGGACTATCCCCTCATATTCATCAGCCCTATCAGTTAATAGTTTTTAATCATAATTTTTTGGAAATGCAGCTGCAAGATTAGTCCTCTAATAACTTATTCTTCTAACCAGATTGCTGCCCATAAGCCTTTTTAATACAGAAATTCTGGATTAGTACTGGAGATAAATTATAACTTAAGCCAAGCTATTTAAACTATTAATTGAAATAAATATTCTTGAAAAGCACAATCTATCCAATCTATTATCCACATCCTGAAAATTGCCTAAGCCAGATTCTTGTTATTCAGTTTTCCTTTCTCTTGCCATATCAAACCAATCACAGAATTCTCTCGATGCTCTTAACAAAATGTATCTCGTGGTTATCCTCACCGTCTAATTAAAGCCTTCATCTTCTAATATATACTATTACAGACGCCTTTCGTCTCTCCATTTCCTCTTTCACACTGTTGCTGTAGTGAGTTTTTTGATGTGTAAATGTGAGCATGTAGTTCACTAGTCAAAATCCTGCTGAATAAAAGTATATGTTTTTCATGACATATGAGGTCCTTCGTGAATTAGTCTTTCCTGGTGAGTGCTAGGCACTTTACATGCATTATCTCGCTTAATCCTTAATCTCTTCATAAAATGCCAGTGTTAATCTCTTCACTTTACTGTTGAGGAAGTAGAGAGTTAAGATTACAATGAGATTGACTCTTAGGTCTATATGCTTATAAAGTCCACAATGTGAATTGTTACGTTTGCTGTCATTTTTCCTAGAATTATATTAAAATAGTTTTCCAAAATGAAAATGAGCACATCTGGAAGGGGCCTAATAAATTGCTATTTAATGTTACTGTAATCTCACTTTGCTTGAAAAATTTAATATTCAACAATCTACATAAACACTTGGATTTGTAGACTCCTTTTTCATGAATATACATATTTATAGCAACAAAGAGAATTGTGAACATTTGGAATGTAGATTTCTGGCCCTATTATCTGCTTTGCTATATAAAGGGTGTTAGAATTCTGTTACTGGATGCAAAACACTGGCCAGGGTTGGCAGACAAATGCGGAGAGCCAGTTTTTGGCATACATCTTTGATTTTCTGGCAAAACTTGTTAGCAATGTAAAAGCTGTTATTGAGAGCATATTGTGATGCTACATCATGTCAATATTTGTTTGGCTGAGTAACACTCGGATTTAATAAATTAATTCTTAAATGCACAATTTACAACTGATGAGTTGTTCTAGAAATACACTGTATGTAGTTTTTGTTGTCAGTGCCACAAACATTTTGACAAGTCTTAAATGAAAATGCTCTGATTTGTTAGATAAATGTATGGATAGATTAGGACTTTTTCAGTTATCCTTAGGTGTGCATATTATGTAGGAATGAAACAAAGAGTGAGTAAATGAGTGAGTTACAGAAGTATATTACCAAAAGGATTGTAGAGAGGGTCACGTTGTATTTGTAGAGAATTACAACTTTCTATGCTATATCCTTGAGCTTATTTGTATCTCAAAACAATGGGAAATGAAGGCATCAGAGGGATATAGACACTATGACAGATGTGGTGGTTTTCTATTAATCCCACATACCTATCGAATTTAATTTTGAACTT